CACTACAAGCCCCACCCATGCCACTGCAAGTCCCGCCCACACTACTGCAAGTCCCGCCCATACTACCACAAGCTCATCAAAAACCATCACAAGCCCTCCCCATACTGCTACATCCCCTACTCACAAAACCAGAATGTCAATTCACACCACTGCAAGTCCTGTCCCCAAAGCTAAGGGCCCAGTCCAGACCACCAGGAGCCCCACCCATCCTGTCACAACCCACAGCTCTTCCAGTTCTCCAGAGGATGCCATGCTTCCCAGCCCCTCTGCAAACACAGACCCTACCCTCCCAGGCATCCACACCCTGACCTGCAGCTACCCAGCCTCTGCTCCTTGCACTCAGGCAGACCCCATAGACCCCAGCCTCTCCTACCCAAGTCCTGCCTGTTCCAGTTGGGAACCCCTCACAAGTCACTCCCCAGACGCCCCAGGGAAGCCCATTCTTCAGAGCCCAAGCCCACCTCCTTCACCTCTAGCCCCTGTGCCCCAGCATTTAGACCTTAGCCTAGCCATGGCCACCCGGGCCCCAGTTCCAGGGGCAGCTGGAGGGGCTGGGGATAGGAGGCTGGAAGAGGCCCTGGGGGCCCTGATGGCTGCCCTGGATGACTACCGTGGCCAGTTCCCTGAGCTGCAGGGCCTGGAGCAGGAGGTGACCCGGCTGGAGAGTCTGCTCATGGTGAGGCGGGCCAGGCGGGCCGGGGAGGGCAGCCCGGCGGTGGGCGGTGGCACTAACTCTCTCCACAACCCCAGCAGAGACAAGGCCTGACTCGCAGCCGGGCCTCCAGCCTGAGTATCACTGTGGAACATGCCCTGGAGAGCTTCAGCTTCCTCAATGAGGATGAAGATGAAGACATGGATGGTCCTGGAGACAGGTGAGAGAGGCCAGATGAGGGGGAAGAGGGAAGGTGAGCGCCAGGTGAGGGAGAAAGGCCAGAAAGGGGAACAGGTGAGGTGGGCCCAGGTGGAGCACACAAGGAGAGCAGCAAGACTGGGGGTGGGTGGGGGGGGGGCAGGAGAGGGTGCACCTGCCAACAGGGACATCTGTATTCATCCCACCCCCCCACCCTGTGTAGTCCTCATGTGTCCTTGATGTCTGTTTCTAACCCCATCTGTGTCCCCAGAGCTTCTGACCTCCCTCCTCCCGGTCCCTGCAATGTGTGCCTCTCCCGTGGGGCCCCGTCAGCTCCCGATCCTCCAGCTCCACCTCTTTCCCCTGGCATCACCTTGGATCTACCCTCTGAACAAGCCCTTTCAGTGCCTGCCTATGCATCCTGGGTCCCCCAGCATCAACCCCCTCTGTTTCAACCCAGGCTTCCCCAGAGAACCCAGCCCCGTGGCTCCCTGTCCCAGAGGGGCCTTTGCCAAATCCCGGCTGAGGGTTGTGCCCAGCCCCGCCTCCCTCTGCTGCTGCCCGGGTTAGGATGCCGTGCCCTGCATGCTTTGGGCCATAACTCCTTGCAGTCCACATTGTGTAGACCATCCCGCCTGCACTCCTACTCCTACCTGTCCCAGCCCCAGAGGTCCCGGCGGTTGTAGCTGAAGGTGGCAACAGGCAGACAGACCCTGGAGATCCCCGCTATCACCTGCTGGTCCTAGTCCCTTCCTCCTTCCAGAAGTCCTCCACAAACTTACCCATTGTCTCTGTTGTCTGTGCACATCGTCTGTTCTTCCATTGTGGGGATAGGGTGACCTTAATAAAAATACACTGGTGACCACATGGTGACGTTTGCTCCTGGGGTGGTTGACCCCATTTTTCTCTCAGGCCCCCAAACAGCCTGGAGCCTGGGGCTGAGGACAGCCTCGACTTACCCAGTGCCCGCCCCCTCAGCACAGAGTGTCCAGCTCTGGACGCTGCCTTGGTCCAGCACCTGTACCACTGCAGCCGCCTCCTGCTGGTGAGGCTAGTGGTATTCCCCATACCTTCCTTTTGTAGCCCCTTATCCCAGGGAGCCCCGCACTTCAATCCTGGCCTGCCATGCTTCCTCTGACTTACACTCCCCACTGCCCCAGGGCCCTAGCATTAGGCTCTGGTTGAGCCTCCCATACTCTGGCTACCCCCACCTCTCCATGCATGCTGGGACTTGTAGTCCCTGGGCTCCACCCTCCCCAGTCCTGTCCTGAGGTCTTAGTTGCCTGGCACCCCTATTCTCCAGAAACTGGGCACCTTTGGGCCCCTGCGCTGCCAGGAGGCATGGGCCCTGGAGCGGCTGCTGAGGGAGGCCAGAGTGCTGGAGGCTGTGTGCGAGCTTAGCAGGCGATGGGAAATCCCTGCCACCTCTGCCCAGGAAGGTAAAAAAGGCCCTGTCGGCCCGGAAGCTCCTCCCTTACCCAGCTCCCTCTTCATGCCATCCGCCTGCTCGGTTGCTGATGCTCGTCTGCACCTCCTCACAGTGGTGCAGTTCTCAGCCTCCCGGCCCGGCTTCCTGGCCTTCTGGGACCGGTGCACAGAGGGACTCAGCCCCTTCATCTGCCCTGTGGAGCGAGTCCTTCTCACCTTCTGCGATCAGTACAGTGCCCGTCTCTCCCTGCGCCAGCTGGGCCTAGCTGAGGCTGGTGAGTGGCCTGCCTCCCTGCTCTCTCTGCCCTCCCTTCTCAGATCCCCAGTGGTGGGACCTTGGGAAAAGCCAGGTCAAGCCCACACAGACCTGCTGAGCTGAGCACTGGGAAGAACTAGCGAAGGCTGTTTCCTTTGCACAGAAGGACGCAGAGGGGTAGAGTTTGGACAGGGGACCCCTGGACCTGAACCTGGGACGGGAGCATTCTTCCCTATAAGGGCCTGGGTCTATCCCAACCTTAAGGCCTGCGGCACTGCCTCCCACAGTGTGTGTCAAGTTCCTGGAGGATGCCCTAGGGCAGAAGCTGCCCAGGAGGCCCCAGCCAGGCCCTGGAGAGCAGTTCACCGTCTTCCAGTTCTGGAGTTACGTTGAAGCCTTGGAGAGCCCTTCCATGGAGGCCTATGTGACTGAAACCGCTGAGGAGGGTGAGGCAGAGGCTCTCCTCACAAAAGTGGCCTGACCCTGTGGGTGGGTCTGAAGGTTTGGGTGGGAGCAGGAGTGCACAAGAGACCCCACCCCAGGAGGCTCCACCTTGTCCCGCCCCTCCCTTTCTTGCAGTATTACTGGTGCAGAATTTGAACTCGGATGACCAAGCTGTTGTTTTGAAGGCCCTGAGGCTGGCGCCCGAGGGGCGGCTGCGAAGGGATGGGCTTCGGGCCCTCAGCTCGCTGCTGGTCCATGGCAACAATAAAGTCATGGCTGCTGTCAGCACCCAGCTCCGGAGCCTATCCCTGGGCCCTGTCTTTCGGGAACGGGTGAGAGGCAGGCAGGCCTTCCCTGAAGCAAAGGTTGGGGTCCCAGGCTCCCATTGTCTGGCTAAGTCTGCCCTCCCACCCTTACCCAGGCCCTACTATGCTTCCTGGACCAGCTGGAGGATGAGGATGTACAGACGAGGGTGGCTGGCTGCCTGGCCCTGGGCTGCATCAAGGTAACCCCTGCCAGCCCATACCCCGCTTCACACCCCTCGCAGCTCCCTCAACCCTGGGCCCTGGGCCTTTCCCGCCTGCTCCCCTGGGTCCACCTCGATGTTCTTTCCCCCGGTAGGCTCCTGAGGGCATTGAGCCCCTCGTGTACCTGTGCCAAACGGACACAGAAGCCGTGAGGGAGGCTGCTCGGCAGAGCCTGCAACAGTGTGGTGAGGCTAGGAGATGGGAGATACGGGGGTCAAGTCAAGTTTGGGAACATTTTGGCTGCTGGGAGTTGGCATGAGGTGGAGTCAGGGATGGGAGGGCAGAGGTGGGGCTAGGATCACTCCTGAGCCCATCCTTACCTGTTTCAGGGGAAGAGGGGCAGTCTGCCCATCGACGGCTGGAGGAGTCCCTGGACGCCCTGCCCCGCATCTTTGGACCTGGCAGCATGGCCAGCACGGCATTCTGAGTTCCTTACCCACTGGCTCCCTGTGCCCCTTCCCCTCACTTTCAGGGCTTAGCAGGCACTGGCAGGGAGGGTGAGGGCTGGCTCCAGACACCTCTCCCCCACAGATTCCCATCCATGAAAATCTAATATATTCTTCCATCGCTCTTGGGTTGGTAGAGTCAGTGCCTGCAGTCCAGTGCCTCCCAGCCTCGGCTCAGCACACTCGCCACAAAATCAGTGTCCCACCACACCCCCTGGTTTTATATTTTATTTACAGAGTTTTACAGAAAATAAAAAAGCAAAATGCCTTTCCTACATGGCCTGGCCTGGTGTGCTTCTGACCCTCTGCTGTAGCACCCTCTGGCCATGGCCCTTCCTGACACTAGCGTGTCTGCGCTCGCAACTGTGGCAATGACTTCTGCTTTGGCCCTGGAAATTCAGGTAGAAGAGAGCCTAGAGGCTGGAACTGGGGTTGGAAAGGAGAGCAGAGGAAGAGGGCTGTAGGGTGTTGGCGGTGGAGGCCCCAGTCTGGAGACTGGGGGTGCCTGGAAGCTATGGGCCCAGGCGGGAGCCAAACTGTGGGGTTGGCCTAGGGAGAGCCCAGAGGTGCTAGTCCTGGGAATGACTCCCTAGCTGCCCTAGCTGTGAGCTCCAGGCGGCCTGGAGGCAGAGGAGGCCCCAGCAAAAAGCGTGTCGAGACCTGGAGCTTCTGGCCAGAAGGGGGCAGCAGAACCCCGTCAGGGAATGCCAGGCTTCTGGGTCTAGCCTCCGTCAGCCTCAGCAGCTTCCTACCAAGGTGGCTGAGCTGAGAGCGAAGAGCTCCTTGAGGCCTGGATAGGAAGAAAAAGGAGATCCTCGCAGAGGGAAAGAGCTAGAGCCTGGGAGCCAGGAAATGCAGATAGCTGCCCCTGTGACCCTAAACAGCGAGTGTTTTCTCTCCCCAAGCTGCGTTCCCTCTCTATAATAACAAACCTGACTGAACCCTGAGCTCCCACCCCTGACATGGCCAGACCGCTGCTTCAGGAAGCAGGGCTCCAGTGGGAGGGCTCACCTCTTCCCAGAGCTGCCTGGCACGTGAATGTGTTAACCCCAGAAGGTTAAGAATTCTATGGGGGTGGGAGGGCCGGGATGGGATTTCTGGGCGGCAGGCCTGTTCCAAAGAGGGCCTGAGGGAGGCCCACACCCAAGGCTGGACAAACAGGCTCTCTACCCTTCCCCTCTCCCTCCGGAGCTTTCACTGTTGTCCAGGGGCAAGGAAAACGGGCCCTCCTTACTCCCTGAGCCCACTCTGGTGTCTCAGTGCCTGGGGTGTCAGCACAGCAGTGGGACACGCTGGGGAAAATGTGTGCGCCCGCACTCACGGGGAGCCAATGAGGTGCCAACAACCCCTTGGGGGGATATGGGGCGGGTGACCCCAATGCCTAGGGAGCCCTGCTCCCCAGTGTTTTAGAGCTGTGTGTGAGGAGGTTTGGCTGGGCCTTTAACCACCTGCTGGGGAAGCCAAGCTGAGCAGAAAAAACGGCCAACAGGAAGGCGCACAGGAAACACCTGTGTGGGGATGCAGGTGGCTCATTCCAGAAGAGTTGGGGGCTGGGATGGGGGTGGGGGCAGGCAGACAGACTTCGACACATTGGCACAGCCCTGTGCTCTCGGTAACTGTTAAGGGTGGCATGGAGGGGATGGGGGATGGTGAGTAGCTCGGCTTTTTGGGTGGTTGGCTAGGGTGGAGGGGATGGAGAAAACAAGTGATGGGGACCAAACCAGCACCCAAAGTTGGCTACAGCTTGGGGCTGACCCCAGGGGCCCCTGCAGGAAGGTTGTAGTCCCAGAACCACCCCAAGAAGCCCCTTAGACATTGGGCCCCACAAGAGGCCCACTGGTAGGGAAGGACTGTCCACTTGGATTCAGAGCATGCATAGCCTATGCAGTGGGGAAAGAGGAAGTGAACACTGGCTGACCAGGTCCTGGGAAAGTGCAGACAGGGGTGACTGGGCCATCACCAGCTCACAGCTCAATCCACAGGAGAGGACAGGGCCTGGGCAAGAAGTAGAGGATGGAAAAATACCCCAACCTGAGGTTAAATGGGGCTGCCACCAAAAGTCCGAGTGGCCTGTTTTCCAGTGCTGAAAAGGGATAGGGCCCCTCTCTGTCCTCTACAAGGAGAGTGCTAAGACCAGAGCCTCGTACTCAGCTTTAGCTGAGAGTGGGTGTGAGGGTCAGGAGCCAGAATGAGGACACCGTGAATAGCCAGGGACAGGTGAAGTATAGTCGAGGCCAAGGCAACAAGAGCCTAAGTCCTTTGCCACGTCAAGCCTACCTAGTTTAGGATTATGCAGATCAACCCCAGAAGAGCCCCTCTCGCCAATGCCTTGAGGTCAGGCTGAATGGTCTCCTACCTCTAGGCTCATTTCTATGAGATAGTGGAGGGTAGGGAGAGCCCATCTCCCTTCTGGTACCCTCCCCTCCCCAAAACACACACAGCCTCACAAGTGCTTCCCACAGGATACTCCCCCCACCTCCTACCCTGCTGTCACACAGGTTTAGGGAGGCACTCGTTCCTGCTGCCCCAGGTGATGGGAGTGGGCACTGGTGACACCATCAAGAGTCAAAGGTACTAGGGCAGAGGAAGCCTATGCCCAGCAGTCCTGTGAGGCCTGTGCCAGCCTCTGTGAGGGGGCAGAGGAAGTGTGATACTCTGAGGAGTGCCCTGGCAATCAAGGCCATCAAGGCCACAACCATGCCTTCGCCATCATCACTGGGACTCTCTCCGGACAAAATGTAAGTGTGCTTTGCAACGAAGGGACCAGGCTACGGTAGTCCAGGACGCAGTTTATTGTATTGGTGGTCACTGGGGCCTCTCGTTTCTCCTACCCTTTCCTTGTCTAATCTTACCTTTTCTCCTGTCTCCTACTCTTCTTCCTCATGTTTTCAAAGTTGTAGAGAACCAAAAACAGAAGAAAGAAAAAAAGGCATGTTTGTGAAGGCAAAGAAGCAGATGGGTTGGCACGGGGGAAGAGGACTGCTTCTTTGTCTCACCCACAGAGTGGGGGTGCCTTCCTCGTGTGTTTCTGTGCAAGGTGCGTGGGTACAATTTGCTGAACCCTATAGGCATATGACATGCTCCCTCCCCCTCCCCCAACCCCACCCACAGGTGGCTCTGGAGTATCCTAGGGCTTGGCTGTCAGACCCACATCTTCTGGGCCTGGGTAATACGGAAGAGTGAGGGACTCCAGGGCCTATGTAAACAGCTATGGAAAAACAGTCTATCATTGAGAAAATAAGACTGTCACTGGCCTGCAAGAGAGGGGCCTCTGTTTTCAGAAGGTTGCAATGTAGCGGTAGCCACATTTGAGTTTGAGGTCAATGGTCAAGTTCTCGCTTGTCTGTGAATATTCCCAGGGCATATGGACTCCCAGTAAATGCTGACTTTAGGGGCGCCTGGGTGGCTCAGTAGGTTAAGCATCTGCCTTCGGCTCAAGTCATGATCCCGGGGTCCTGGGATCGAGCCTGGGGCTCCCTGCTCAGCAAGGAGTCTGCTTCTCCCTCTGCCCCTCCCCCTGCTCATGCTCCCTTTCCCTCTCTTTCTCTCTCTCTCAAATAAATAAATACAAATCTTTTTTTTTAAAAAATGCTGACTTAGAGCCACTGAGTAAGTAGCTGAAGTGCTATGGCTAACATGCACGTTTTCGCTACATCCTCTGAATGTCCTTACAGCATTCTCTGCCACCTCCTCCTCAAGCATCCTCGTACAAACGTCACTCCGCGGGGTTCCATTCTCAGCCCTTTCCAGTTCTCCCTTGAAACACATTCTCTGAACCACCTCATCTCTTTCTCCGGCCCCCATCTGTATGCATCTCTAGGCTGAGGCTGTACGCCGGTGATTCACAGGGCTCTCTCCTCACTCCCGTATCCAGCTGCTGACTGGACACCTCTTTGGAATGCAGCCAAGATGTTTCCAGCTCAGCGTGCCCAAATTCACACTCAGTGTCTCAAAACCTGTTTCTGCTCCAGGTCTCTTGAGGTTACCAACTCCCCAGCCACACAGTGTCCTCATCCTTGACTCTTTCCTCTGTCCTCTCACCCCTGCCACCATAATTGTCTCAAGTAAATGCCCTAAATATTTCTAAATTCTGTCCACTCCCTTGTATCACCATGGGCACCACTCAGATCTGGGACATGGTGACCTCTCACTGAGACATTAAAACTGTCCCCTCACAGGTTTCCTGCCTCTGGTCTTACCCTTCTTCCATCTATTCTCCGTGGTTCATCAGACCGATTTCTAAAACCCACCACATAGGCTTTCTTATCTCCTAGGGAAAAGTCCAGGCGCCTCCAGCTGGGCACAAAGCCAGCCTCACTTACGCCTCCTAACTTCTTCTTCTTATTTTTTTTTTAAAGAGTTATTTATTTATTCATTTGACAGACAGAGATCACAAGTAGGCAGAGAGGCAGGCAGAGAGTGAGAGGGAAGCAGCCTCCCCGCTGAGCAGAGAGCCCGATGCGGGGCTCGAGCCCAGGACCCTGAGATCAGGACCTGAGCTGAAGGCAGAGGCTTTAACCCACTGAGCCACCCAACGCCTCCTAATTTCTTGGTCCGCCCTAGAGCCTTACTGAACCTCCTGCAGGGCTTGCTTGCCCCTCGTGGTACACGCTTCCCACCTCATCTGGCCTTGTCAGTGCCTGTTTGCCTGAATAGGCTTCAACCTAGACATCACAGACTTCTTCGGGAGCTTGCTCCTCCCCTACACTCCCGTCAGAGCACCCTGCACTTCCCCTGGTCTAGTACTAATCAGACCCCACTGCAAGTGCTTATTTATTTTCTATCCTCCACTATGTATATATATTAGTGTAAGCATTTGCTGACTATTCTACCTAAGTAACAGGCACCACCCAAAACATTTCGAGTATCAAAGTACCACATTTAATGCAGAGGTGCTGGGTGGTTCAGCCTCTGCCTTCAGCCCAGGTCATGATTCCAGGGTCCTGGGATCGAGTCCCACATCGGGCTCCTTGATCAGTGAGGAGCCTGATTCTCCCTCTGCCTGCCACTATCCATGACTGTGTTCTCTCTCACACACAAATAAGTAAAATCTATAAAAAGGAAAAAAAAAAAGAAAAAAAACACCTCCACGAGGGCCCAGAGGGAGTCGTTAGAAATGAGGCTGAAGAGGGGCACCTGGCTGGCTCAGTCAGTGGAGCGTGCAACTCTTGATCTCGGGGTTGTGAGTTCGAGCCCCATGTTGGGTGTAGAGGTTACTTAAAAATAAAATCTTAAAAAATGAGGCTGAAGAGGTGAGCAGGGGCTTGTCACAGCG